TCCTGGGTCTTCAGCTTGCTGACTCATCCTACAGATCTTGGGACCTGTCAGCCTCCTGTCGGCCTCCATAATCAGATGAGCAGGTATATCTTTTTATATATGTCTCTTGGATGAATGGATGAATAGACAATGGATGGATGGATGGATAGATGGATGGATGGATGGACGGACAGACGGACGGACAAACAGACAATATATATATTCTATTGGAGATAGAGATAAACATAGACGTACACAAAGACATAAACATAGAGGCAGACATGGACATAGACATATATAGATATAGATATATCACCTATTAGTTCTGTTTCTCTAGAGAACCCTGACAAATACACCCACAGGGTCACCGGCTCTTTGGTACCTATCCATCTGGGACATGGCATTGTAATAATCCATAAAAAAACAATGACAAAGCCAAGGAGAAATGTCAGCCTCAAGCTTATTACATCACTACCAGGTTAAAATCCTTCCATAGCTCGCCAGTGTCCTCAGGATAGATCTAAACACCTTGATATATCATTCATGACTCTTCATCTGGCTTCTCATTCCTCTCCAGCCTCATCTCTTAACTATAGTCTCCGTGCCCCCTAATATGGAACCAGGTGAAAGTCCATGAACTACACAATGATCTCTTCAGGTTTTGTGTATGCTTTTCTCTCTACCAAGAATTAGTTCCAGATAGCCCCCATGGATAGCACACGTGCATGTGCACGCACGCACGCACGCACACACACACACACACACACACACGCACGCACACAACATACACATTGTGTGATGGCACGACTAGCTCCTCATCCTTCAGATATCCACCTAGGAATCTTACTTTCCTCCCAGACCTACTTACTGAGCACCAGTTGGGAACCCCTCTAAATGTTGCCTTATCACCCTGAGTGTATTCCTATCAGAGCCTTAAGTGTGCTTTATTTTAACTGCCCATTTATTTGTCTGATTTCAACTCCTTAAGGGCCACAACTATGTTTTATTGACTACTGTATCCCCCAAACAGTGATTCGCACATAATATATGCTCAATAATTATTTGTTAAATAAATGGTTAGATAAAGTTCTAATAGTCCCAGATCACCATTCTCAACTAGTTAGTTATTGGCTTAGTTTAGGAACCATCAACCAAGATCTGAAAGGGACACATTCAGCCACTTCAGACAACATCCACACCACTGGTGGTATTCAAGTTGCAAGGCCAAGGGGGATAATAATACAGTTGTCCTTGACCCTATATCCGTACCCACGTATGCCCCAACCATGCAGATCCTGAATAGGCACTATAGCTTGGATGCTGAGGAAGGAGCCAGAAAATTGGAAAGAGAAGAATCAGGAATAAAAAACATTATTATAATCATAACCACTTGTGGTCCCCATCAAAGTAATACTCCCAAACTCCTTACTGGCTAGCAATGCTGAGTTACTTAATCTTTCGAGACCTTAGTTCCCTTATAAGTTGATCAACAGTAGCATACAACTCAGGGCTGTTATGAGGAATAACTGAGACTATGTTCTGGAAAGCACTTAACACAGTGCTTGACACCTACTGAGTTATGATATAATAAATGCAAGTTATTAATATTATCACCATTATTATTGCCAGTCAGGATTTCAAACACAAGTATATATAAAAGCAAGCTACAGTTCACTAGGCAAGCCTGAGCTGAAAGATTTTACTGGGCCTTAGCCCCTGAAAATCTAAACACAGGAGCTTAACATTAAGGGGCTTAACTTGCTTACCATGAACATAGCAACCTGACAATGACAGAGCTATTTTGGATGCAACTTCCAGGGAAAGTTTTTCCTATACTTATACTTAATATCAGTAGTTCTAAGAAATCAAACAACCAAACCTGGACCAAAATAAATAGATACAAAAGAAAAAAAGGTACATATATATTTGTTTTTTTTAATCTACTAATTTATGCCAACTTCTCCATACACAGAAATACATACACTAAAACAACTTTTTTGTTACTTGCCTGATACAAACCATTATTTGCAATAACTGGGTGAGTTATAAGTTAACTGAGTGAATGGCCGTTCACAGGCTGCTAGTAATTTCATTTGGTAGTATAAACACAATATAAATGTTTAAAACTAAATGCCAAAATACCTAATTGCTATTTTATATAACGAAGCTACATTTTAAATGGTATATATACTCTTTATTTTCTAGCCCAAATACATACAACATTTTCAATCCAAGCTCATTAAGTCAACATCAGTTTCTAGAGACAGTGTGTCATTCAAATAATTTGCTATTCTCCAACAATTATCCTTTAATTTAAAATATATGGCAATCTGGAGCATTTGAGGTCTTGCTTACCAACAATTGTCATCAGTTTTGGTTGAAATGAACTCTTATAAAATTTTTGAAAGGTAAATAAAATAAAATAAAATATATGGTAATTCAAACTTTTAAAGCACATTTTCTCTGCATTTCAAATTAACCAGGTTTTCTAGTTCTCCACCAGCACAAAAATGCATCTTTCAGTATTCTCTTCTAGCTTCCTTCTCTTGTCACTAGTTGTATTAGGAAAGTTATAGGTTCTGCTCTTAAAATAATTTTTAGCATTTTTATGTATTAATTCCTCATTTTATTAGCTATTAAAATTTTTCCTTGAGAACCCTAAAGATTCCACACACAAAAAAAAAAACTGTTAGAACTGAATTCAGTAAAGTAGCTGGATACAAAATTCATATTCAGAACTTAGTTGCATTTTTATACACCAATGATGAACTAACAGAAAGAGAAATTAAGAAAACAATCTCGTTTACAATTTCATCAAAAACAATAAAATACCAATGAGTAAATTTAACCGAGGAGGTAAAAGATCTGTACTGGAAAATAAGTCATTGAAAAAAGAAATTGAAGAAGATACAAATAAGTGGAAGCATATACCATGCTCATGGACAGGAAGAATTGACATCATTAAAATGTCCATGCCACCCAAAGCAATCTATAGATTCAATGTAATCCCTATCAAAATACCAATGGCATTTTTCACAGAACTAGAACAAATAATCCTAAAATGTATGTGGAACCACAAAATACCCTGAATAGCCACAGCAATCTTGAGAAAGAAGAACAAACTTGGAGGTATCATGTGTTCTGATATCAAATTATACTACAAGGCTCTAGTAATCAAAACAGCGTGGTACTGGCATAAAAACAGACACATAGATCAATGGAACAGAATAGAGAGCCCAGAAATCAATCCATGCCTATATGGCCAATTAATCCATGGCAAAGGAGGCAAGAATATATAATGGGGTAAACACAGTCTATTCAATAAATGGTGATGGGAAAACTGGACATCCATGCAAAAAAATGAAACTATACCACCTTCTTACACCATACACAAGAATAAACTCAAAATGGATTAAAGACTTAAATATAAGCTCTGAAACCATAGAACTCCTAGACAAAAACTCCTAAACAAAAAATATTGCTTAGTAATATTTTTTTCTGATATATCTCCTCGGGTAACAGAAACAAAAGAAAAAGTAACAAGTAAACGAATGGGACTACATCAAACTAAAAAGGTTTTGCACAGCAAAGGAAACCATCAACAAAACGAAAAGACAACCTACTGAATTGGAGAAGATACATCTGATGAGTGGTTAATAACCAAAATTTATAAAGAACTCATACAACTCAACACCAAAAAAAAAACAAAAACAATCCAATTAAAAAATAGGCAGAAGACCCAAACATCACTAATCATGAGAGAATAGCAAATTAAAACTACAATGAGATATCACCTCACACCTGTCAGAATGGCCATCATCAATAAAAAGAACACGTGTTGGCGAGGATGTGGAGAAAAGGGAACCCTCATGTACTGTTGGTGGGATTGTAAATGGGTACAGCAACTATGGAAAACAGTTTGGAGGTTCCTCAAAAAGTTTCTGGGAATTTATCCAAAGAAAACCAAAACATTAATTCAAAAAGATTTATGCACCCCTATGTTCACTGCATCACTATGTATAGCAGCCAAGATGAGGAAGCAACCTAAGTGCCTATCAACAGATGAGTGGATAAAGAAATTATGGTACAGATATATAATGGAATATTACTCAGTCATAAAAAATGAACTCATCATTTGTAAAACATGGATAGACGGACCTAGAGGATATTATGCTAAGTGAAATAAGTTAGACAGAGAAAGACAAATATCATATGATTTTACTTATATGTGGAATCTAAGAAACAAAATAAATGAACAAACAAAACGATAACAGACTCATACAGAGAACAAACTGGTAATTGCTAGATGGGAGGGAGGTTGTGGGGGGGGGGTGGTACTGGGCGAAAAAGGTGAAGGGATTAAGAAATACAAATTAGTAGTTACAAAACAGTCACAGGGATATGGAGTACAGCATAGGAAATATTAGTCAATAATTTTGTAATGGCTGTATATGGTGCCAGGTGGGTACTAGAGTAATCGGAGGGGCAATCCGATTATATAAATGTCTAACCATTGTGCTGTATACCTGAAAGTAATATAAAATAAAAACTTTTTTAATTTCTCCCTTTTTTTATTTTTTCCTTCCAAACACCACCTTTCTTCTAGCACCCAACTAGCAGAATGATGATTCCAGCCAGCCCTCTCTCTCCTCCACGGCCTACAGAATCTAGCCCATTGGTCCACTAA